AGACTCTTGGTATTCATTACACATAAACTAGCGAGCCCCAGAATGAGAAACAAATTTAATCATTATTATTGACGGATTAGTAAACTTTTTACACGCTTTGGAAAATCTCAGAAGTTCGCGGTAGTCACTTTTCGGTAAGGAACTAGGGGACTCGGTTATTGTATCGAGGGGGGGGTCGAAACGATCGCAAAGGCGGTATACTACGTATACGCGCCAAAAATATGCAAATCTAATTTGGTTTCTGAGTTTTAAACTGTTCAAGTCACATTCTTAAATTTACAAAAAAAGTGTTCTTCTGAGGGATCGAGTTGAGCTGCTGTTGCGATAGGGTTGGGTGGAACGAATTCTCTAAAGAAATGTTCACCTGTGCCGAAGTAGCGTTTTTGAAGCGGAAAGCTCAAAAAAACGCAAATCTCTTACGCAGGTTGTGAAGTTAAGATTACATTTCAAACATTGCCAATGCATTTATCGTGATTTTTGAGACGTTTACTGACAGAAACAACTCTTCTTTTTGCTCTAGCAAAAGTTTGCAACAGGCCCGTTATTCCATATAATTTCAAGCCATAAGATTTGTTAGTTTTTCCTCAGTAAATAATTTTAAATCGTGCGCTCCAAGTGCAGTTTCATCACGGCCGGATTTACCTGATTGCCGCCCATGCGGGCCGCCTGTATTTTGCCGCCCCTTCTCATTCGTTTTGAAACATCATAAAAAACCATCAAGTGAACGATCCGGAGGGGTAGGAGTGCATAGTGTTGGAAACATTTTTTTGCGAAAGCCCTGTCAACGCTACCAGCAAAAGTTCACGGAACTTTGCGCGAAAGTTGAGTTCTGTAAACCTATCTCTATGTGGACAAGGCCTTCCATGTATAAGGAATGAACCAAAAAATTATGAAAGAACAAACATAAATGTGGTTTTATAAGTTTAACTTCTGCCACCGCGCCGCGCTGACCGCACTGTGTTTGATGCAATGCGTGAAGTATTCATGCAGTCTTGTAGGCGCTGTGCGTTTCAAGTCCACCACTGCTGACGTACTCAGTTTGACGTAATGCGTGAAGTATTCATGGAGTCTTGTACGCGCTAATATGTGTTACACGCTGACCGCTACGCCGAGGGCTTCTCCTTTTCATCTCAAGTCCTCGTCATCATTGCCCTCTGCGCCGCGCCGTTCCAGGCCAAATTGCGTGTTTGGTTTCTCTCTTTACTCGACTAATTAAAGGTGCTGTCTCTGGCATCACCGAAAGACGACAAAATTAGAACTTACTGTACTTTCTGGAAATGAGACATTTTGTCGCCTTTTCTCGTTTGTAATTTTTTTCTGAATCCAATTCTTTTCATACCTACATTTAAAAAATTGCAAAATTTGCCGCCATGGGCCGCGGCCCATGTGGCCACCCCCTAAATCCGGCCCTGAGTTTCATATCAACCTTATCCATCCCCTTGCTGCTCTTGTACCTTGACGATCGACTCCTTTTGAAAGCTCTCTGCCAGCGATGTATTCGACAAACTTTCATCGTTCATTTGATCATACTGAATCTCTGCCATCCCATCCAAGCTTGAATAACTTGTCGTTGTACCGCCCCTCTCAAGGTCTGAGCCTGTCCCGCTGGAGCTGAGATCTTGCGTCGATGGAGGAGTGGTTTCTTTCGCTGGCAGCTTTGGTGGCGCCATCTTTCCATTTTCATGGCAGCTCCTACTATTTTCCTCATTGCTTTCGTAACTTCCCTCAGATTCGGTATCACTAATGTCGCTCGTATCATCGCCACTGTCATCTAAAGTGTCGTCGTCATTATCGTCTTTATTTTGATTGCATTTTTCTTGAAGAAGAGGAAGAAACTCCTTCGCAGTTGAGTGGTTCGGTTCGTACTGAAGTATGAGCTGAAAACAAAAATAATGGACTACTAGACAAGGTACGAATTTTAGCATTCTGATACATGCTACTTGACCAGAATTTCACGTAGGTAGAACTCGATTCGCGCAACGAAAATTACTGAAACCAACTTCTAACGGAGATACGAGGGGCGTTCAATACCTAAGTAAGTATCCCCCCTCTCTAAAATCAACAGGAATGGACCAATTTTCAAAAACTTGGGCTCAAAATCTTTCTTAGGATATCCTGAGTTCAGCAAAACAAACCGCAACAAAATCGAACCATGTGCGGCCGAACGCGAGCCGTCTGAACGCGCCGAGGTGCACACCGCTCCCGCCGAATCCGCGGAAATTTGAAGTCCGCGACAAGAGAAGAGCTTCTCTGCCAACGCTTCAGT